TCATCAGGAGGCTGAACCCTCAACAGTCTGCAGAATCCCCTCACTGATTACACTGTAAATGATAATCTACCTTAACCAAAATCAAAGTAGACTATCACTCACCCACACCAGATGGAAAACTCTACAGACTGTCTATATATATATATATATAGAGAGAGAGAGAGAGAAAGAGACGTCAAATCAGGAGTCCTCTTAGCTCTCCCTGACCACTTCTTCCCCGAGCCCCCTCTTTCCTGTGATGCTACACTGCCTCGTAGAGACTTAACAAGCTCCCTTTTCTAAAACTAGCCCCTATCTTCCTCCCTGCTCCAGGCGAGATGGCGAATACGCCCTCGTCTACAGGAGAGGGGCTATTGAACCCCTCCAACTAGCCATCCAAATTTGACGGGGAAAAAAAAACACTCCTCGAGAGGCCTTACCAGCCTTCGACTCCTGGGCGTTTCAGTCATAGCAAGGAGCATATCTTCTTCTTCTTCTTTTTTTTTTTTTTTTTTTTTTTTTTCCCTCTCTACCTGCCATCGTTCCGGAAAAGTCAGCAGAGGCAGCCCGTCAAATCTCTGAAAGGTCAAGAGTCCCAAGTCAACCCCGAAGGGGCACATGAAAAGGCAGTCCCAGTCCAGTCCGTTTTGCAGCAAGTACCAGAGTGGGACCGCTCATCTTGAGGGCCTGGGACATCAGGCAGGCCCAGACCACCAGACGAAACAGTATAAATAAAGAGGCAGCGATCAGTCACGGACTCATTCTGAGACAAACTACGCGGAAGCGCTGCTTGAGCAACTTGTGCGTTGAGTCACAGGTGGTCAGCAGGAGAGCCCTGGTTGAAGACGGCAAGCAGCCATATAGCCACTAGGAGGAGGAAGACGACGACGACCATAGCCGCCCATGTGTAGAAGACAGAAGATAGCGTGTCTGAGTGCAGACATTCAGGGTAGATTGAGGTGTTGTGTGCGTATGTGTGTGTGAGTGTGTCTGATGTGGTGGATACAGTGTGCGGGTGGGAATTTTCAGACTGGCGCTCAGCCGCCACAGCCGCAAGATGTGACAAGTTGTCTGAGCCGAGTTCCTGGCCGAAGGCCATCATATCTCTGAGTTTTCTGTGTGGCCGCACTGCACCATCTCAAGCTTGTTGCTGAGTGTGCTCTGAGGAAGTTGCTTTGCCATCGGCATCTGCATCTATGCATGTTGGACGTGAAATCGAGACGAGTCTTAATGCACTATGCCCCATGGGAGAGAGTAGGACTTGGGGGGGGAGACGTCCCCAAGTCTGCCTGATTTGTTCTCTTTTTTTTTTCCCTCCCTTTGCTCTCATGTTCTTGGCGTCCACAAAGTATAGGCGTGCCCCTCTCACCCATTAATCACATGATTTTTTTTTTGGGGGGGGTGGAATCAAAATTAAAGCGGAAGACATCCAGCGCAGAATAATACACTGTCAGACTAATCGATGCACCGCATTGCACACAGAAAGAAGAAGTGCAGGGCACCACACACACATAAAACAGTAAAAGACCGACGAGCCTAGCTCGGTTGGTACATGCATGAACTGTTGAACTTGAAATAAAGACCCGAGTTTGAATCCAGATGCCACCGGATGACCAGGGAAAAAAAAAAAAAAAAAAAACAGTAAAACCGTAAACATGCAAATGTGTTCCGGCACGGTTTAGGGTTTAGCGTTTAGTTCGACTACCCATGCCATCATACAAACATAGAATTGCAAATGCGTTCCCGAAGGGTTTAGCAGCTCCATTCAGTTCTCACTATGTGGACTGTGGAAGCACCGCATCAGATTGTCGCAATTGCAGTTGGTGCATCGACTGGCACGGCGTAAGCGTTTGTGTTTCTCATGTTTGCTATACAAAACACAACAAACGCATGACTGTGCCAGACTGTTTCATCAGATTTCCCTGTCTGTCTCTCTGTCTCTCTCTCTCTCTCTCTCTCTCTCTCTCTCTCTCTCTCTCTCTCTCTCTCTCTCTCTCTCTCT